ACTTCATATGGATACAACAACGTGATTTCAACGACTATTGACGTGGGTGAATACAAACGGTTTACAATAACAAGCACTGATCCTAATTTAAATAAGACATCATTTGTATGGTACATGGAGTTTGTAGCTGATCTAAATTAGAATTTTTAACAATTAGAAACCACTTGAGATTTTAAAATAATATGATTCCATCATCGCAATATCGCTATGATACCGTCAAAGAGTTTTTAACAAAACTCAAAACACTCATTGATGAGTATGAAATAAAAATTAAAAAGTATCGCAGGAGAATTACCGCAATTGATGTTACAGTATACTCGGTATCTGGTATAATGGCCGGTGCTGGTATTATACTATCTTCAGTAACAATGGTAGCTCCGATTGCTGTCCCAATTGCTATTTCCGCGGTGACAACATTTGCTGGAATTGCAAATGCTATTACTAAAAAAATATCATCGTGTTCTCAAGAAAAACTTAACGACTATATAGTAAAACATCAAGCAGTATCTAACGGTTACTCACAATTATCCTCGTTGATGTCATCATCGATTGATGATACGATAATTACCGAAGACGAATTCTCCGCGATGATACGTATTTATGATACTACGATTAAAAACGCTAGCGTTTTTTCATCTATTGCAAAATTAGACATTGTAATAATAATAATAATAATGTCGCAAGAGATTCAACTACTTCAGCGGATAGCAGAAAATACCACTCCGCGGAAAACAAGCATGATATCAATATCGTCAACAAACCCTAAATTCAGTGTGAATTTTCCTTCCCCTGTTTCAGTAAAGGAAATCGCGTTGGCAAAATTACGAGTGTATCATAGTTGGCCTAATATCAGATCGGTTTCATTTGGTGGTCAGAGACCTAATAATTCTTTGGTATTTGCATATAGGAATAAAAAAGATGACACTCCAGATTGGAACGTTGTTTCAATACCAACTGGATCCTATCAAATTGAGCAAATTAATAATGAATTACAACGTAGAATAAAATCCATTACTAGAAAAGAATCAAAAATTGCGATAACAGTTCATGAACCAACACTATCATCTACAATTGAAATAGGCTCCCCTGGGTATGTTGTAGATATTTATAACAGTTCAATAAGAACAGTATTAGGATGGCCCGAAGATCCACCTAGAAGTGCTGGTAATTCCACGCCCGAGCCTGTAAAATCTGATTACGTCACTGATGAAATAGGACCTGAAAATCCATCAAAAACTTATAAAAATTCGAGGATATAAACTTCACAAAAAGATATCGATATAAGGATCAATATGATGAGGATGCATGGATAATTCCACTTTTTAATGATTATATTATACGAGAGGACGAAATTTTGGAAATGCATGATACAAGTCCAACATTTGTAGATATTAAAAATCACATCCTTGATAGAATGAATAATGATTTTTTGTTGTTATTACCCTCGTTAAGATCTGGCCTTCTTACACAAGCTGAGTTTACTAGTGTAGTCGCTGCGGGTAATAAAATCATCGATGACATGGAAATATTTAATTCGAGGATTACTAATCTCTTCACTGATGAAAATTCCCCGATTTCAAGAACTAGTTCAGCCCAAGATTATAAAAAAAAATATAAATGAAAATCCAAATTATAAACTTCCAGGATATAACGCACCTGAACTAAAAAATCAACTCAGAACTGCCATCAACGAAGGATTTAATAAAATTCATCAATCATGGAAAGATAGCCAGCCGAAGCCTATTATCCTCACTCATAATAATTCTCCCGACGGCGACGGTAGACATATCGCACCGAACAATGTGGATATTTCATCAGTAATCGCACTTAATTTAACGTGTGATGTAATCGAAGGAAGTTATCAAATTAATATGGAACAATCAAATCAAGCCCGACAAGGTTACATTCTTTATTCATTTGCACCAACAGCCCCCCCCCAGGATTTTTAATTGTTGAGAATCCGACTAATCCAGTCTATATGCAATGTCAAAATGATTCGCTAACTAGAATTAATTTTACACTCACCGATCAGTCAAATAATTTAATTGATCTACGTGGTGAAGTATTATCGATTAGTCTGTTTGTGAAAAGCTAACAAATAATTGGTTAAATAATTTGTATTAACCCTGAAATCCTTTAGCAGCAGGAAGGGCGAGATGACAACATATTTGCGACGTAGAAGGCAGCAATTTTGAGGGTGGTTATGACAATGTATTTACGATAAAATCGATAAGGCTTCATTTGTAAAATGGGGTCTTTATTTTTTTTTTTTTGGTTAAAATATGAGATTTCGTAGGAAGGCTCCATTTGGCATTCTGAGGCTTTAATCGATTTTGTTGCAAAAATTTGTAGGGTTCACCCATCCCCCCTGCTGCTCTGACAGATACGTTCGCTATAATTTGTTTGATTTAAACTTTATATCCAGCCTGTGGCATATCTTAAAATGGTGTAAATGAAACCAGCAGTCCTTCACGAGACGCACTACGTACCATCGCCGCGATACAAGCGCCTCTACTCTTTGCCGTTTTCCCGTCCAATTTTCCATAAATATGTCTTCGCCGACCAGCCTGGCAGGCACGTATGTATGTTAAGCTTATAACAAAATAGTTCCAAACCCTTGGTTCCTTTGACCTTACCTTGCTTTGTTATCATGACTTCCTATGGTCAATATAATACATGTCATGTCTTGATTGTAATTTGAACTAAGTAAATTTCTTTGTAAAAGTCTTCTAACGTGTTTGTGCAAATGAAAAAATTGCCGATGTTCATTTGGGTACATGTATTTTCAACTCTTCAGTTTCGGAGGAGTGTAGTTTTTGCAAATTGCCAAGCTCTTTAATTTCGTGGGTAAATAAATCTTACATGACGCCAACCATCTCATGATTCCTAAAAGAATATGATCGGTTTTGCAAAACACAGGAACTCCAGAAGTTTGGAATCAGATGATATTGAATAAAAAGGCAAAATAACTCACGGGCAGAATTTCATATCTTAAATTCTCCAATGTAGTTGAAACATTGATAAAAAAATCATGCTATATATCGGGAAAACAAGAACAAACTATCACCCTCTTTACCCTCTTTAAACGACATCATCCCATCTTAGCCACCAATACAGCCAGAGCTGGGAAGATGTAGATTAAACAGGTATTTATCTCACGTAGTTCGTTCTTTTCCTCTGCTTTTTTCATTCCTTGTTTATTTTATATTCTTAGTAAAGATGTGTTGTCTATCAGTAACACTTAGGTTGATCTACACTCATCAGCCAAACAATTGGCAAGTGCAATTTATACATAGCCAAACATGATCAATTTACTGTTTTCGGGAATGAAAGGGTACATGATTGTGCCAGTTTTAAGATCCCACTAATTAATATATACTATTGATGTCATTACTAAAATATGCCATAACCAACAACTCGGCTAGCCTAGACATAATTCAACCCTTTCTTTTTTCAACTTTTGACATTGTCAGTCTCTAAGTGACTGAAGAAGTAATTAACTAAAATATCACTTCTTGTCAATGTTCAGTGTTGTTGAAATTTGCAAACGTTTTCGCAGTTTTTTTAGATAAATGGAAAGAATGACATATAAACCTATAAAAACAAATCATTTCTAGCTAATTGTACAAATTATTAAAAAGAAAAAATACCATGTCAGCCATCATCATTCGAATATCTTAAGAATTATTAAAGTCCGAATCTACATCCCCGTTTGTTTGTACCCTTGTAGCGATTTCAATAACTAAAATGTTTAATGTGAAAACATGTGCACAGAACTAAGTCAATTTGAATCATTGATTTGTAATTTCTAACCTGACTGTGACCAGAATGGCACTAATACTGGCATCCCCTTGCACCTTTCGTGCTTAACGGACTTTTCATACTAATACGGTGCCGTATTCCGTACACTATGGGGTACTTTATTTCCATCTGACAATATAATGACATAATTCATCCTATTTGGTAACTGCCGCATAATTCCGTAAATTACCATAACTTTGAGTTTGGAATTATATTCCTTTGTACACATGAACATATTAATGAAGCCATTTGTTAAATTCACGTGAAAAGGCAATTTTGTTTTGTCATTCTTTTCCTTTGCTTGATTCGACACCTTAAATATCGGAAGCAGACGACATATATATGTACATCTTTAGTTGCGCATACAACCTTTTGCTAAAAATGGACTTGTCCAGGGACTGGAAATGGGTCTCAGGCATGTCGGTCTATAATAATGAAAACTTCCGATAAACATGAAACGCGCAGACGATGACGGTGTTATGGCCATTCTACTCACAGTCTGGTTAGAAAATATGTCAATGAATGAATTGACTAAGTTCCTTGCACTTTTTATCAAATTAAATGCTTCCGTTATTGAATGTCGGCAGTGTAGCCGTTTGCAGTCATGCCTAGCACTGAAGCTTCTACCGCAGACGTATGGTGTAATGTCCCACTCAGTCTAAACACTGACCTCTTAATGCTCAACACCTAGCGAGGTAGATTCTGGTACCAATTTTATGTCATTGGTACGACTATGCCAGAGTTCGAACCTGTGACCTCCCGCACGCGAGGCAGACTCTCTAACAGCTTATGCCACTTGATCGGTCCCGAGCAACAGCTAACATCAGTTAATTCTAACTATATCAACGAGGAATTGCTGTGAAATATTCTTAAAATTACAAGTTTATTTTGAAAATCAAATTTATTTTTTTTTTAAATAACCTCCTTTAATTATAATCAGAACAAACTCCAAAATTTTAGCCCCAGTGCCAGCCCCAGCCCCGCCCCAAGTTCGCTCGCCCGGTATGACCGCTTCATTGTCTCCACATCACACGGCTAAGGAAGAGCTCGAGACGTGATTCGGACATGGGCACAAGCAAGATAATCGTGAACCCATTACTGGTTTTCGTGTTGGAAAGCAGCACAGTATTTTAATCCATTTTCAATAAATCATAACACGCAAACGTTTTAAAAAAAAAAAACGCAGTTAAAAAGTATCATCCCGCGAACCGGATTTGAACCGGTGACCTAAGGATAGCTATATGTCTATTTTTCTACAGTCCTCCGCTCTACCAACTGAGCTATCACGGGATTTCATTAACCTAATAGGTAATGGTATTGTGTTAACTTTCAATAATTCACTTTCGTGCATTTATTAATAGTTGTGTACATTATATTGTTAGATGGAGAGCTGACACATACGAGAAAAAAAATCATTCACTAAATATGCACATTATAGTCATATGAAGAAGGGCAACACACGCACACACACAGATATATATATATATATATATATATATATATATATATATATATATATATATATATATATATATATATATATATATATATATATATTAATTAAGAATACAGATCATATGGCAGATAACAATCTTTAGAGCGCGCTTGATCCAGCAGAGAATCACGTATGTCAGGGATTGATTGAGATAGATGCAATAAACTTACGACGAACAGTGCAAAACTAGTATCTAGCTAGGCCGAGTTTCCTCTGACCCTTGGCACCCCATTTTTGATATTTGGTTTTTTATGTTGGGGTGTAGGGTCAGAGTCTATTCCCTATCAAAAAATTGGAATTTGCCGACACCATTTGGTGTCGGCATAGGGTACTCGCCTACTATCAGGCCTAGGAAACTCAAATGACCTTACATTGACCCATAATTACATTAAATCGATGGGGAAATCATTTATCTTCTCATAAATTACAAGCATAACACTATTTTGTCTTTAATCCGTTGTCAGACGAGACGTAACTACAGGGGGCAGGGTCCAGTATTTATGTACAAATTTAATGCCGCAATCAGTGACCTAGTACAAAAAAATCATAAAAAATCAAATACACAAGTGAGGTCAAGAATGTCCATATTTTGAGATACCTATATTAAAACAAAGCAAAAAAATATTATCCACTTGACCAGAGAAGTCAGTGGCAGTTCATAGCAGAAGAAGTTTATGCACCCCAACCCCAAATTTATACCTGCAATTTTCATGTCCGAAGGTCATTTTTGACACCATGTGGTACTCACAGTGCAAACACAAGCCCTTTTCCTAGATTACAATTCTGCCAAACAGTGTGTACTAAACAGGCTTATGCAGTTGAAAATAGTTGTCATCCAAGCCGTTTTTGAGATATGCTCCTTGTCCCAAACCCACATGTTTACTGTTACGAGAGGCTAGCTCTTCTTCGTAGACAACTATTGGTATTTCACTATCAACATATTGCAGAGTAACTATGGAAGGTGTACATGCCTGACATCAATTTCAAGAGCAACACAAGCCCGAAACACCTAGCTCAAAAATATATCCATATATTTAATTAGTAGACAATAATTGCTGAAAAAGTCACACCATAGCCTTAAGTTAAGAAATTTGCCAGGGGCCAAAATACGAAACTGTACCCTGCCTCCACAGCGTTGATGAATTTTGACCTCGTTCACACCATTTTCATTGCTAGTCACATGACTAACTAAATCTCGCAGCCGATATGCATAAACGTTATAGGTCAAATAGTCACGTGATAACAACAAAAACCGCGTTTTCCCATACCCCTTGTGAAATACGGCAAATGTGTCACCTTCATTGACAACTGATTTTACTACATCATACTGTAGTTCTTTAATATTAAAATAGTATCCCTTTTCTTAAAGTATCTCATTGGCAAGAACTTCCGAGTATTCGTCTTTACCTGCCATGTTGCAATATAGGTTTATGCACAAAAACTTCCATTCCAGTATTGCAGAAAGAAGACATAAACTCGAAAATATTGAATGAAAGTCACGCAATGTATACAATAACAAGAAAAAAACACGTATTATTCAACATACTAAATGGGATAACAGCAGCCCTAAGCATGTCGCTGTCGCATCTTCCTGGAAAGGAGCTGACTGATCACGCAGAAACTACATGTCAAAGCACTTTGTTATTATCACGTGACTACTTGACCTATGACGTTTATGCACATCGGCTGCGAGATTTAGTTAGTCATGTGACTAGCAATTAAAATGGTGCGAACGAGGTCAAAATTCATCAACGCTGTAGTTACGTTTCGTCTGAAAACGGATTAAAGACAAAATCGGTGTTATGCTTGTAATTTCTGAGAAGATAAATGATTTCCCTATCGATTTAATGTAATTATGGGTCAATGCAAGGTCATTTAAGTTTTCTAGGCCTTATAGTTGGCGAGTACCCTATGTAGTTACCAAATGGTGTCGGCAAATTCCAATTTTTTGATAGGGAATAGACTTTGACCCTACACCCCAACATAAAAAAACATATATCAAAAATGGGGTGTCAAGGGTCAGAGGTAACTCGGACTACTAACTAGCCTGAGCGCTTTCGACTCTTAACGAGTTTTATTAAAATGCATATACAAAACAAACAAATAAAACATAAAAACCGTTGTGTATGTTTTATTTGTTTATTTTGTCTTTGCTTTGTATATGCCTTTGAAAAAGACTAAATTAGAGTTTAAAGCGTTCAGGCTACTTAGATACTGGTTTTGCACTGTTTGTCTTCAGCTTAAATATATAATCTAAAATGTGTACTGCTGCTTTCACGTTCATCAATGCATTCAATTTTTTCTATACTATTTGTTTCCCTGCTGCATTTGATATATTGTCCTATACACGTGTAACTAACTAATCGAATCCCACAGGAAATATTGTTTTTTGTACTAATTGTGTGAGACTCATAAAATAAAGACTTTATAAGTAGTACGATGATTTTTATAATGGATGTCATCTTTTACATATATCTACAATTTTCATTCATTATCCTTTGTTCAGTTTACGCCTTTAATACATTAAAGACCTCTAAAGGAATTGTACAATTTCCCTAGGAACAATCTTAACATTCGCGTCACTTTTTCAATTGTGTACAACTTTAAAAATGCAGTATGTTATGAGGTTATCATATCAAAGAGACCTCGGCATACATCTCCACAGTACTACAATTTTTATTAAAATTTAATTTCTTATTCAATTTCATAAGCATCACAAATCATATAGATATATTCTATCCTCTACCCCATCATGAACAAAATCTATCCGTTTCTATTCATATTTGCTAAGAAAAACCTAAACCGTGCCATGCTAAATCCATGACATAATCCATAATCCATGACAGATTATGGGAAAATAATTTTCAATACAATATACTCTTTCCATTTCCAATTGGTTCATAATTATGATAATTATGCAGGTCTGTTTTTCTTCATCAAAAACAGCATTGTCACATGTTGAATTTTTGACACTGTTCAAATGAATCCAATTATTGTTTCACTTGCATGCATCGAGCCAATAACTAGGACTGAGATAAAGATGAAAGAGAAAAGTAGCTCTATTTTTATATATCATGTTTATGCCTGACTCAACAACTGGCGTAGCAAGGAGGAAACGAGTGTATCAGTTTCAAATATCACGTTTCATAGATTATGTAGCTTGAAATAATTATTCCTAAGGATTTTTATACAACTTTCGCATTTTTCTAAAACCTTGTTAATACGTAGAAAGAAAGTAAATAGTTAAATTTTTGTAAAGAAAAACACTCGAGTTGCATAAAAATTAATTCCGACAGCAGCGCATATGTGTGCGGGGGGGACCGTCAATACAGAAGATAATATACAAATGATGTATAAGGAAGTATTATTACACATGCAGATTTTCGACTATTGTCTCCATGACTTGTCCGGGATATTGTGAGACAAACTTAATCAACCTTTCCATTCACCCGTCCAATCCAGTCGCCACAATCGCTACGACTTGATGATAGTCTCTCTCTCTCTCTCTCTCTCTCTCTCTCTCTCTCTCTCTCTCTCTCTCTCTCTATATATATATATATATATATATATATATATATATATATATATATATATATATATATATATATATATTGAAACCTTAGCTCAAATACAGTAAATTTGTAAGGACTTTTAGTCGTTACGGTCATCTTATGTCAGAATTTATGCAGTGTGGATAGCTATTTACGTTTCTGAATAACGAAAGTAAGAGACTTTTATATATACGAATAGGTGGTGAAACACATAGAGCTTTAGTCGTAATTTTGTCATTTAAAAGAACAGCTTTCTTTGACCCTCTCGAGATTCGGAAGAGGACAGTCTAAGAGGGAATTCAGCAAACTGAGAGCTCGGAATGGCCAGAAGAAGAACCAAATATATATGCTAGACGTGGAATACATAAAAGCAAGAGAGGAACGACGCCAGGTTATGCGAGTCAGGCGTGGACATTGTACTCTTTCAATACTCGTTACTATGATAAACGAACCGTAAATTGAATGCTGCTATTAAATTCCAATAATGTAAATATGCTGTATTAAAATTGCAATTTGTTCAATTTATGTATCAATTAATTAAAATTTATTTTGGTTTATTGTTTAAGGCGGATATTATTTGCTTATTTCTTCTCAATAGTCTTGCTCGGTCTATCCACTCACACTGGTGAATAACATTGAAGGAGGTCATCCTCTAGAAAACGATCGATAAATCAATTAGGTGGCGCTCTACAGTTTCGTATTTTGCATAGGGTTAGAATTTTAAAGAAAATAATTCCCCCGGGTTTCCTCACTAGTCATACTGGCATTTTGACAAAGATGTTGTGTATTTTAGGTATTGTTCAAAGAACCTTTAATTCCCTTTATTTTGGTGTATGATTGATGAGTGTAATATTGGTTGTAGAGTATACATCTTGGCTTTACTTCAGATGTGCACCTTTCAAAAAGGTGTTAGCTCCACTTGCTCTTTTTCACTTCCCAAACTTCAGAGGTAATTGTATAAAAAAGGAGAGCCATAACTTTTTTTACATTTTAAATATATTTGGTAATTCATTCATTGCCTTTCAGAAGCTGGTATTGTCTAGTCTGGCAAAATTAATTTTCCTTATTTTAATAGCTGCCAATAATAGTGTACTTTAAACAAATTCAGGTTGATTTTTGGCGCACAAGGGAGCAGTCATTTTAGTTAGCAGTGTGCTAAGATCATTTACAATTACCAAAAGTAAAATATCGAAAGAAATGTCAGCCACATTACATGAAAGTAGCATATAGGTATGCCAACATTC